TATTTTATAAATATAAAAGCATATGCTAAGCACTTTATATAATGCTAAGCAAGGTATTATTAATAATTAAATATAATTACCTTTAATTAAGGCTTAAATTAAGTAAGCTAGTTTTAAAAGCATATTTATTAACTATTATAAATTAATTAATAACTTAATATAATATATTATTTAAAAATAAATAAAAAATTAAAGAAGATAAATTAAAAAATTAAGGCTTATTTATTAACTTTTATTAATTAAAATTAAGAAAACTAAATAAAATAAATATTAATAATATAAATAATACTAAATAATTAAGTAAATATTAATATAAAAATATTAACTTTTTTTATAATTTATAATTATTAACTTAATTCCATTATTTTAATATTTAAAATTATTAAATAGGAAACCTACTTAATTACTTTATTAAAAGGAAAAGCAAAGGCATTTATAAAAAAGCTTTAATAAATCTTAAACTTATATTAAGCTATTATAATATTTACTATATAAACTTAAGAGTTTATAATAAATTATAAAAAAACCCTAGCAGCATAATTTTAAGTAAAAAATTTAATTTAAGTAAACTTAAAGAACTATAAATTTCTTTAATATAAAAAGAAATTTAATTAAAAGCATGCAAAATTTTATATAAAATATATAATATCCCTTTTAATTATAAAAATATTTAAATTTTTAAATAAAAAGCATGCTAAGATTTATATAAAATTACTATAATATATTGCTTTAAACTTATTATTTAATTAAATTTAAAAGGATTTCTAGCTATTTATAATAATAATTAATAAGTATTAAAAGTACTTAATAAAAAAGTTACTTTATATATGCTTAAAGTAAATAAATAAAGGATTTAAGAAAAAGGGCTTAATAAAATAAATAAGGTATAGAAAACTTAATTAAATTAACTTAAAAAACTTAATAAACATTATAGCTTAAAATAACTTTAAATATAAATATAAAAACCTATAAAGGGCTAATAAGCCCCTAGCTAATTATATAATATATAATTATTAATAAAAAAAAGGCAAATTATAATGCAAGCAATTAAAAAGGAATATAAGGAAATAAAGGGGAATAGCATATTTAAGTATACCTCTTTTTAAGAAATATTAAGAATATATTTAATATTAAGGAAAATAAGAGAGAAAAAAGGAAAGGATAAAAAAGGTAAAATTTTAAATAGGGTTAAGAAAAATCCAAAATTTAGGGATAATTTTATAATATTTAAATAAGGAGGATAAAACTTATAGCGGCAAGAAAATAAAACTTATTTTTATATGCTTTTTACCTTTAAAGGAAATAAAGCATAGGGAAATAAGGTATATATTTATAAGAAATAAAGTATAGGCCTTATTAATTAATTAACAAAAGTACAAAAGGCAACCCTTAAAGGAATAATTTATAGCAATAATATAAAAATATTAAATTTTAAGGGAAAATGGCGGATTTTTAAGAATATCTTTATAATATTTAAAATAATAATAAAGTAAAATATAAAAATAAGAAATCCTTTTTTTTTAATTTAAAAGCATTATTAACCTATAAATTAATTAATTAAAATTTAAGCCATTTAAATTTAAAATCTAAATAAAAACCTATAAAAACTTAATAAAATATATTAAAAAAATCCTAATTACTAGCATTAATATGTTAAACTATTAAATTAATAAAATAAATAAAAATATAATTATTATTTTTATTAAAAAATATTTAAAAATTAAAAGGAAAATAATTTATAATAAAAAAATGCCTATTTTTTTACACTTTAATATAACGCAATATGCAATATAAAGCTTCTTAAAATAAGCATTTTAAAAAAGTTAATGAATTTTAATAATCTTTCCTTAAAAATTAATAAAAATCTTATTATATAAATTTTAATAATATTAACGCCATTATTTTTAAGCTTTTCTTAATAAGCAAAAATAAATAAGAAAGTTGCATTATAAGTAATTAAAAATAATTAATTAAATTTTAATAATTTTTTTATAGAAATTATATATTTTTCCTTTTAATAATTATTATAAGCCTTTAAGATTTAGCTATTTTTATTAATAATGGGATTATAATTATAGCTATTAAAAAGATAAAGGAAATATTTATATTAATCTTCTTAAGAAAATATTAAGAAATTAAATAAAAACTGCTAAAAATCATAAAAATTAAAAACTTACTTAATTCTTAAACTTAGCTAAATAAATAATAATAAATAGCATAATAAATAATAAGTTTTTAATTTTAGGAATTATTAATTTTTAATTAAAAAGCTTTAAATATTAACTATTAAGGGTTGGAAATTATAATTTTAAGTTTAGAATACTTACTTAATATATATATTATTAATAAAAGAAAGGAAAGAAGTGAAAAGCGGTGGTTTTAATAAGTATTTATAATTATAAAAAGGGCCCTATAAATAAATCTTTACTACCTATAAATAATTTTTTACCGCCTTTTAATATAATAAATAGAATTTAAAAAGGGGGTAAAAAGGGGGTAATATAATGGGTATAACCCATTAAGGTAAGGATTTTAAGTTTTAGCTTAAAACCTAAAGTTTCCGGCATTTTATTATTGGAATTTAGGCAATCTAGCTTTTATACCTTTTCTTTCTCTTTATCCAACTAGGCTTAGCTACGATAATGCTCAGCGTTTACAATATACAAACCCATTATAATAAAAACTTTTTTATTTAAATATTAAGTTATTTATTAAAAAGATTAATAACTTTTTTAAGGTAAACTTTATTATTAATAAATATAAAATTAATAAAATATTATCTTTTTCTTTTATTTTTAATAAATAATTTTAAAATAAATAATTATATACTTTTTTAAAAAGTTATATTAAATAAATATATTATTTTATTATATTTACTCCTTAAATAAACATTTAAATTAATATAAATAAATTTAATTTATTACTTAAAATATTTACTTTTTATTAAGTTTTTATTTATTTCTTTATTATAAGCTATTCTTAAGTAATATTTCTTATAATATTAAGAGCAAAAAAGTTAATTTATAACTTAATTGCTTTAAATATATATATTTACTTATAATTAAGGATAATATATTTAAATAAAACTTTTGTTAGTTTTAAAAAATTAATAAGTAATAATTTATAAGTAAATAACCCTTTTTTATTAAATAAGATTTAAGCGGTTTAAATTTAAATAATAATTTATTTCTTTTTTTAAGTTTTTTAAATATATCTTTATTATATTAAGAATTAATATTATTATTAATATTATTTTTATAATTTTCATTATTTAAATTAAATTCCTTAGCATGTTATATATTAAAAGATATAAAAAGTTTAGCAATAAAAGATAAAAGAAAATTCATTTGTTTAATATTTTAAAGTTTTAATTTTTATTTTAAATTAAAATTAATAATAAAAGTATATTGCGGGATAATTAATAATGTATTAATATTATAATAAGTAAGTTGCTTTTTTAATATAAAGAAAAAAAGTAAAAGAAAGGAAAAATAAAAGAAAAAAATATATTTATATTAAATTATTAGTTATTTTATTAATTATTTTATTAATTATTTTATTAATTATTTTAATTAATTATTTTTATTAATTATTTTATTAATTATTTTATTAATTATTTTATTAATTATTTTATTAATTATTCTTTCTTTTCTTTTATATATATATATATAATTTCTTATATATATATAAAATTTAGCTAATTATTAAAATAATAAAAAAAATTTAAAGGTTAAAGATATTTATTAATTATAAATTATAAAATAAAGTTTTCCCGCTTATTATATTATTTATTATTATAAAGATTATATAAGCAAGTATTATTAAAGTAATAATGCCTTTTAATATATTTATTTAATTATACTTAATTAAAGATTTATATTTACTAGCTTTAATAAGTGCTTAAATAGCTATAAAGAAATTCTGCATTTAATAAGACATTTATTAATACTGTCTTTTAAAACATTTTCAATAATAAAAAGGGGAAGTTTCAAGTGGTAAATATTCTTCTACTTATTAGGGGCATTATCTTTATAAATAATCATGCTTAACAAGGTCCGATAGTTAAGTATTGATTGGTGTGCCTATTTACATCCGCTTTCTGCCGGATGAGTGTAGGAGATTGTTGTAACCGCCAAGCACAATCGCTCTTATGAGACGAGGGTGAAAAGTTATTGCTAATGCCACGATAGTGCAGAGACAAAGGAAAGGCACCAACCTTCGGTCAAGAGGGACTATGGGAGTTTTCTCCTGGTCTAAGATTACCCAATAGCAAGGTCTCTCCCTGTCTCCAAGCGAGCTGTCAGCATTACGATAGTGCGAGTCCACCCTACCCACCTGGCTGCTCCTAAAGACACTTCCGCGGGCCATTAAGATTATGGTAAGCCATATCCGGCAGCTGCTGGATCTGGTGAGCTGGAGCCCGACACATATGTAATGGGTGGATGTCGCGGCAACACGCAAGACGAAGTGGGCCAGATCGCCCAAACAACGCTGGTAACAGCCGGCGATTTCAAGGACACCCAGACGAGCGACCCACTGCGATGGTGCTTGAGCAAGATACAGGGGTTTGGGGGGAATAGCGAGGCTATCGATTCACAAGCCGTGGTTGCAGTGGTTGCAATGGTTGCAGGAATTTCGCAACACAACAGCTTCTACGCAGGCTAGATACTGGCGACCTCGGGAGGCGGCAAACTTGAGGGCCACGGGCATAGATGCACAAGAATTGGGGCACTAGGGATGGGGATATTTAAAGGCTGTGAATGGCTCGCGACAGCTATGCAGTATACGTTCAAAAGAGAAAAAAAAAAAAAAAAAAAAAAAAAAGTGCCATCCTCAGAGGATTCACGAAACCTCGTGCTCTGTTGTCCCGATTGATGAACGACAGGGGTGCAAGACAAGACCTCGGGAGACTCGGCGGTCCGAAAGAACGCGGGTATGATCGGCGGGCAAGGGAGATCTACGCCCGCCTGGCCCACGGAGGATCCACTCCTGATGGATCCCTAAAAGATGGCAGTGGATGTGGTCCACAGCGAGAGAGCCTCATCGTTGGTGGCTAGCACGCTAGCCACCGTCTTCTTGCCGATCACCGAGCCATTGTCTCCAGACCCTTGTAAAGCCTGATGAGCGGGCAGTTCTCTAATCTTTCCAATGCAATGCAACCCAAACCTGTACCTCGCATCTGAGACTTTGTTGGAGCAACGGACGACGGGCAGAGGGATCCTTTTGAGAGCATCGCTGTGGCCGGCCCACTTCAGCCCCTGCTTAGGTACTGTTCCCCTGGAGACTCAGGGTTAGCTGTAATGTGTCTTTTGAGCCACGCACCATCACCCCAGGTCGGGACTAGCTCACAGGATACATAGGTTCTCCCTGGACTGCGATCCTTTGTGGTCAATTCTGTTGGTTTAATCCAGATGTCCCCAGAAATGTGATCAAATTAATTCCGCCGTGGAGTTGGCACCACCATATGTTGTCAAGGATTGTCAGTAGAAAGGGGGAATGGGCAACCGAGGCGCACGACAGACGTCCGATCCTTATTAAGCAATTTCAGATACCATCTTGATGGTCAAGACTTTACACTGTACCGTAGTATTGTCTCGAGGATGACCCTGCCTTCAGGCCTCAAATTTCCCGCGCCGAGGTGATTCGGCATATCCTAACGGGACACGCGGGATGAGCCCGGGTTTCGGCTTAGCTACCTAGACAATGGCATCCCCAACGGTCTACAAGCTAGCCCTCGATGTTGCTACTAGATGGGACCAATGATCAGCCAGTCAATTGTCACTCAACGATGCGATGTGCATTCTTGAAAGTTGGACGCGAAAACAGTGTTGAGCCAGTTGTTCCAGGGTTGAATGTTCATACCTGTGAAAGGAGGCATGCCAGAACAGCAACGCTTGGTGTCGGATTCGACGCCCAACGTCAAGCAGACATGTGACCATGCCGGAACACGTGGCTCATGGTTTCGATCCGACCTGGAAATCCGGTAGGAATGTCCATCTTTGTCGCTTCGGAATTTAAGCTCCATTACATGTTGTATTTCCCCGGATTTGCAAAGGAGCGGGGCCAACAAGAGGCGATGAGGATACGCCATGGATGCTGAGTCGCGCACGACAGACAAAGATTGCAACCCATGTCCAGCCTTGTTCCTGATTAACTATCGACCCGAGGAGCCCTGAAAGAGCACATTACTCTTTCCAAATGGGACAGACTCTATAGTCGCAATGAGCCAAAAGGGGTCTTGTCAGAATGCTTCTCTACTACTGCAATTCGAAGGCCAACAACTTTGTTGTGATCAACTCTTCAGAAATGGTATTCTAAAGACTCCATAAAGGTTGATATCGGACTCTATGCTTATATTCGTCTTTTTTGACCAGCATCACGCCAAACCTTTCTCCGCGTCTCTTCAAGTCCGCCTTGCCAAGAACCCCAATCCCAGATCTTCGTGGTCACCAAGACAGAGGCATTCAGGGTTGCAAGACCGGAGTTTGTATGAGCCATGGGCAATCGACGCAGACAGGTGATGAAAGCAGGTTTGAAAAGCGATTGCAGAGCCTTCAGGGTGTGTGTTCCCCATGCCACTGTGCTGAGCGTAAAGCACAGCCGAGTCGGCCTTAGACTTGGGTATAATATTACATGTAGCAGGGGAACCGTTAAGGCACATTGCATCTGAGTAGCTTCCCAGCTTATTCTTCAGCCCTTCAATAGTCCGACTAGAAGAATAAGGCGTACTTTGGCACGGCTCGTGACGCACTCCAAGGACAGATACACCCATGAATTATACACTGTTCAAGTTAAGTAGGCTTGTATCTCTGCCATGCTGAAGCCGCTGCCCTCTCATGTGCTCTGATCAGCTGCCTCAGTTTTTCTATTTCTGATTATCTTCAGAATAGTGGTGAGAGCTATGGGCGGGTTGTCATGGTCTGAACTAATTCGAGGCTGTATCGCAAGAGAGACCATGAGGACGTTGCCAAGATTATCAAACTCCTGGATTGTATTATCGATGGCCTGTTGCCACAGTCCCGAGCTGCTAAGCAGTCACAGTTTCGTGCTTGGGAAGACAATCCAATGTCCAACTTCTCAGGTGGGACTTGGGCTTGTGAAGATTCGGTCAAGTCCCGGGATCGTGTATTGCTCTCGCCGTGCTGCTGATTGCCTCCAGCAACCCTTCCGCATTTGTGGCGAGCGACAGTCTGGGGCCTTGAACGGCTGATACATGCGCCGATATCTACATGTGCTCAACGTGTATTTTTGTTGTGGTAGTGGTGCAGAGGAAACTCATGGATCTCGGCGCACAAGGTCTGAAGTATTCCCAAGTCGAAAAGCAAGATGCAGACAGGTGCAGTTGCCCCCCACACGTAGTAGGGTGGTGCAGCTACCCTCGGATCCTCGTCTCTTGGCAGGTGTGTCTTCGTTGAAGCGTCGGCACCGTTGAGTACCTCAATAATGGCCCATGGTGATGCCACATCGCTGTGCGTGATTTCTAGGTACCTCCTAGTCAATGAAGCCAAATCAACACATTTGTAATGCGGGGCTGATGGACAGGCGGTGCAGTCGAGACTGACTCAAAGCTGAACCGCTTCCTTGGTAACGACCACAATTGAACTCCACGAGGTGGGACTATGACGTTAGTGAAAGCTCTTCAAATGGACCCAGAATTTATACTTCAAGTACACAGGCACTATATAGAGGCCTAATCCTCCTGTCGCTTTCAGAGTCCTCGTCTTCTCCCCGCGAACTTCGCAAGAATGTCCAGCCTGGATTTGATTTCCCACCCCAACGTGATGAAGTGAAATACTGGGGCACGACGATATTCTCAAGCGCCTTTGTCGGCCGCCTCAGCATCAGATATCTCGTCAGACACTGGGTTCACGTGGATGGGAACAACTTGAAATCAGTTCCCAGACTTGGTTGTTCGTCTTCGTCGAGGTACGTTTGGATATTTCTTTGTCTGAGCTGCCTGAAAATGATGACAAGATTTATTACCACGGTTTCTGCATCAACAAACAATGATGACTCGCATAAATCGCGATTGGAATCTCGTCCTGATCAGAGCGCATTCTCGTTCTGGGTTGACAATGGTTGCCTTCGAGAAACACTCATTGACCTGTCTTACAGTTTGAGACGAGATATGTAGCCACCGCCATGCCAATCGACGGAACCAAGTACCTGCTGTGCCTGTCTCACTCGCCTCGTGGCGCTCCGCAATCATAGAGGTGAGGTGTGGGAATTCGCACACTGGAGAGTCTGCTTTCACGACCATTGCGGAATTCGGGACAATGGTGACATTGTGTAAGTACCCGGTAGGATAATATTAAATCATGCCAATCAGACACGACGCATGCCTTGACACCCGCCCGGCCTGGCTGCCACTGCTGAATGGGTACACCTCTGGAGTCCACTTGATTGTCTCTTCGTTTGCATCCTCTGCGTTCGTTTATCTTGTTGCAACCCCTCCCACCCTGGTCGCCCAGTTCCCATGCTTGAGAAACTTGAGCCTGCTACCCAAGGCTTCAGTGTGACCGGAGAAAAAAGGGGAAACCGGGAGGCATTGAGAGCCGACAAAAATGACGGGTGCGGTAGATGATCGTTCCCGCTGTGAGGTTCAACACCAATCAGTCTTGAGATCCGATTGGCCGCCTTCCTTTGTCTTTTGTTGAACAAAAGCGACGCCGCTAATGCGGCACAATTACACACACCTATACTTCCACATCTTTTGCTCCGGCGGAATCAAGTCGCCCTCATGTGGACGGGACTCACTGTGAGCCAGCTGTTCGCAAGACTAGAAATGGCCGAATGCATGAGGTCTTATCTAAACAGTTCGTACTGCTCACTTTGTGGGCGCTGCTCTGAGAGTGGGAGGGCCCAAAACATTGTTGCCTACGCACTTTCAACCGGACAATCTTGCCGAAATGTAATTTGAATTTGATTCCAAGGTCAAGATGCGCCAAACCAAGCACATTCCTGACCTGCGGAATCTTTCCACCCACCTATCTATCCGTGGGCCTTGCTTGCCATAAAATGCGTGCACTTCGCGTTCCAGGCATCATTCCATCCTAGCAAATGTTGCTTAAGTTGAGGGATTCGCCTTTGGTCCAGAGGTCTTTGGCTTCTTGGTAAGATCTGATTGTGCACCTGGTTCGTGTCCAGCCTCAAAATGAGGCGACCTCTCGCTGCTTTTGCTGTCCTTTTTGGCGGAGGTTGGCCCGTTTCAGGGGACGGCCTGAATGTTCGCGCCCGACGTAATGGACTGCAGTACTTTGGAACCCAAGTTTCCACTTCCATCCTCAACGATGCCCAAGCCAACGCCATCGCCATCCGCAACCAAGACTTCGGCACATACACGTGCGAATATGAGCAGAAGTTTCGATCCATTCAGCCTAGCCGCGGTTCTTTCAATTATGACCTGTCCGACCGTATCGTGAATCAAGCTCTTAATAACGGGATAATAATGCGGTGCCATACCCTCATCTGGCATCAGAGTGTTCCGACCTGGGTCACGGAAGGCAACTTTGACAACGCTACTATTGTCGAGATTATCAAGAACCATATCACAAACGTCGTCACTCATTTCAAGGGGAAATGCTATGCCTGGGACGTCGTCAATGAGGCTGTCGACGGAAACGGCTTCTTCCGCGGAGACAAGACCCCAACTGAATCCATCTGGTACTCAAAAGTCGGCCCAGCTTTCATCCCCATAGCATTCGCCGCTGCTGCTGCCGCCGATCCGTCCGCGAAGTTGTACTACAACGACTACAATATCGAGTATCCCTCGCCCAAGACAGACGCAGTCATCAACATTGTCAAATTGATCCAAGCGTACGGCGCCAAGATTGACGGCGTCGGTCTGCAGGCCCACTTCAAAACCGGTGAACTTCCGGCCACTTCAAGGCTAGTCTCAGCGCTCACGTCCTTCACCACCCTGGGCGTCGATGTCGCATATACTGAACTGGACCTCGAAACACCTGCCAGCAATCCAGACCTTACGCAGCAGGCACTGGACTTTGCTACCGTGGTGAGAGCTTGTAAGCAGGTCTCTCGGTGCATTGGGATCACTACTTGGGGCTTCACGGACAAGTACACTTTCCTGAACGGTCGGTTGCCAGACCTATGGGATACCAATCTACAGAAAAAACCGGCATATTACAGCACGTTGGCAGCGTTGGGTCCTGCTCCGGCAGTGGATGTCTGTGGGTGCGCTGCGTTTTAATTAGGACCCGTGAGACGAGGTCATGAAGCTGGTACTACAGGCTACCTTGGCCGTTCTGAAAGCCAGTTGTCACAAGGACACGGAGCAGGCAATTGTTTGGATTACCTTGGTTTCCGTTTGACGACCTGCGCAAATGGACATAAATATGCGCACCTCTTCAATGCACATATGACTGGCAGTACGGTCCAGATACCGTGTGATGCAACTGTGGCCTTAGAACTCAATGTTGACAGTGACATCTATCTGTTCCCTCTGCTATGCAGCAAACTCGGTCACAGCGACTCAATTCGGGGATGCATCTGCATGTTCTGTCGAATTTATTTTAGTTTTCAACATCTCAAAGCTCAGGTTTATGGATCCACATGATTCTCGGCAGTGAGTAGGCTTTGAGTTAAACTGATTGCTAAGACACACTCACTTTCTATACTAAATATGAGACTTTTGTATCAATAGAAACAACCATGCAGTCATTGATTTGTACATCATATCCTCGTGTGATACAGGCCCATGCGATCTGATTGTGACAGATCCTCAAAAATAGTTGATAATGAATATGTATTAAGCCAACTTCTGAGAAACTATGTTATGGCCAGAGCAGTGGATCATTTACTATGGGTCTCCGAGTCAAAAGCTTACTAGATGCGGCATATTAAATATGGTCATGTCTGTCAACAAGTTGGGTCGCCTCTTTCTCATCAACCCGTCGACCTCACTCACCTCTTACATTATCTCAATACAGGGCGTCGAAAAAATCGCAAGCACTGTTACTCTTAAGCAGCACGTTGAATCCCATACATTTAACCTGGGATTAGTAGGTATCTTCTTAACTGTCACGGCACAAGAAAGCCTATTGCGCTAGACACCCTGACAAAAGAGGGACGTTGTAATGCCGAGAGCATTACCGTGGCTTGCACCTATATACGTACTGTAACATTAACAAACCATAACCTCGAGCCGCTCTCTTGCCTGCATGGCAGCAGTCGTCATGATCCTGGATGGTTGAAGCAACTTGGTCGAGGATTGTCAATAGTTTGGTAGACATACTGAGAAGATGGATGATGCAAAAGAAACGCTAACTAAGAAATGCAAGGGCCGGGGCCTATTCTTTTAGTTCCGTGTGCGTTCGCAGCTGCAAGCAAGATGATTTTAATTGACTTATGTGCCAGATGAGTAAGTGCTTTCATACATATCTGGGTACATGAGAAAGCCGTAGGGATGATGGATCAGTCTAACATGTACTCTGTTGGTCTGTCTATATTTGAAAGAGGACTGCCGAACCTCTTTGATCGTCCGCCGCACTTACTCTCCGACCATAGATATTCTTCCCTCGACCTGCGGTGCGATGGCCTTGGTCCAGTCACAGTCAACCTCGTCCTCTTGCAGGCCCTCCCCGGCCTTTGCGTTGACACCGGCCTTTTTACACCATTTCCTAAATATCTTCCTCATAATTCTAAGCTCTGCTTCTTCTTCGTCATCTTGCTCCGCAATACCCTCTAGTGGTCTGGGTTCCGGGGCAGGGCTGGAACCGTCACGGTCGACATCCGTCTCCCTCTCCGTCAGCGGCCCCACGCTGCTCCTCCTCTGGCGCATCTTTTCCGGGGAGTAGTGCTCCCAACCTCGCTTAGACCCTTTGCTTGAAATCGGCGTGACTGGGGTCTGGGCGATGGGAGAATTGGCAGTTGCATGTTTCGGCTCCATGCACGGGTGTGACTTTGTGACGTTGGAAACGACCTTGCCCCAGTGACGTTTCATGGAAGGGCCCAGATAAGCCCATTGGTCAAGAACCTTGAGGGACATGAAATACTGTCTCAACATCATGGAGATCAAAATGCCGTTCTCCTCCGAGACAATCTCAACAGCCTGGCCGCCTTCTTCCTCGATAAGAAGGGATTTGTAGCCGTCTGCAAGATGTGGTCAGTACTTCCGAATCACCAACTGACAGGCTTTAGAGTTGACCCACCTTTGCCACGGCCCATATAGCCTCTGGTTGCAAGCACGTAAACCTTGTCGGGGAGGTACCCATCGCCCGCAATATCTACGGCGGTAACTCTCTCGCCCACTGGCCTCTTTGGGTCGAATGTGAGGCGGATGTTTGAGACCTGTGGGAACCGCCCCTCCAGCGCCGGGTACAGACTCACAGAGTTCTCGAGCGCCTCTCGTATAGCCTGTCCGGTGACCTTGATAACCACCACGGGGTCCTCGAACGGGAAGCAGTCCGTGATGTCCCTGACGCGGATCGGACCTGGAGGGTAGACCTGGTCGCCGCGAATCGTGCCAGCGGCCATCAGCGCACAGTCCGCAGAGTCTGTCCATGGCATGTATCAGTCAGGCACCTGCCACGGAGTCTATATGAGGCCCCCTTCCCGCCGATTGCGGGGGGGGGGGGGAGGGGTGGAAAGTGGCGCGTTGGAGGGAACTTACAGTGATGGCGCATGATATCACAGACGAAGTTTCCTATGTTTGATTCCCGCAGTCGCACTGTGGTAAAACGGGCATCCAGTGGCGCAGCAGTCCAGCCGACGGGCTTCTCGAGGGACTGTTTCAGCTTGGCCGTGAGCTTATTTGCCAGCTCGAGAGTGGGCCTGTGCTCAGCGACGGACGAGACAATGTCGCGGCGGTAGATGACAAATTCCCACGGCCGAGGAGAGCCCGACGGGGCCTTGCGGGCCTCGATATAGCTGAGTTGTTTGAAATCGGTCCCGGACCTCAGCACGTGGCAGCCGTTGATGAAGCTGTGGGAGTAGTAGTGGTCGTGGCCTCCCAGGATGATGTCGATCTGGTCGCCGACATTCTCAGCCAGCTTGTTGTCGTTTGGCTCACGCATGTGGGTGAGGGCAACGATCAGGTCGGCGCCGTCGGCGCGCAGCTGGGGGATGAGTTCCTTGGCGGTTTCGGTGGCGGACTTGTAGATGAGGTTCGGCGGGAGTGAGTTGATGGTCTCGAGCCACTCGCGCTCCCCGAGACCGATGATGCCGATCTTCAAGCCGTTGCTGGCGGTGATGATGTGAGTGCGCCTGGCGTTGCCGATGGGGACATTGGGGCCAAGATCAGCATCAAGGACATTGGCGATGAGCCACGGGAAAGAGCACTTGGCGGCCAGGTTGCGGAACTGGCCGACGCCAAAGTCAAGGTCATGGTTGCCGAGGCTGGCACAGTCGGTGCCGACTGCGTTCAGAATGGGGACCATGTGGCTCCCCTTGGTTATGGAGCTCTCCAGGCTGGGGTTAAAGGCGTCGCCAGAGAAGAGGGTGAGGCAGTTGGGCTGGTCCTTGAAGCGGTCGCCCTGCTGGTACTCATTGCAGACGGTCATGAACCTGGCGATGCCACCCACAGGCTCAGCCGAAGAGGCGTCGAGGTGGTAGACATCATTGTAATGGAGCAGCCTCAGGCCGGGCGGACTAGTTGACGGGCTGCCATACGTGACAACCTCCTCCGCCGTGGGCTTCGTCTCGAGGGGAGCCATGTCGAGCTGCCCGGTCCAGACTCACGGTACTTGGACTTGGGGGGATGAACGCGTGTGCACCACGGATGGCAGACTCTGGTATGCTGTGCCAGTGCAGCTAGCCTGCGTGCGAGGATGGGTGGCTAGAGGAGAGTGTGGCGAGGAAGTGAGAGGGGGATGTGGTGGTGTGGTCAGGCGCCAATGGCAAGGAAGCACCAGACCTGCCAACACAGCAACCAAGGGGGATGGAGATGGGGATGGAGATGGGGATGGAGATGTGGGTTGACAGTGAGGTGGACGTGTCTCGTGTGGCCTTGACCGTGACCGTGGCCATGGCCGTGGCCCCTGAATCTGCAACCGCCGTTCCCTGCCGCCGCCAAGGCGCGACGAACCGCCGCCAGAGAGGACAAAGAAAGAGACTACGGCTGAGAGATCGGGGGCTGGGCTCCAAGGAGACGTGCCGTCGGTGCGGCACGGTGGTTCTACGGTACGGTTCTACGGTGCCGTACGGTACGGCACGAAACGTTGCCAGTCCGGCCATGGATCGGGTCAGTGGTCTATCTGTCCGTCTGTCCATCTGTCTACTACATGCCTACCTGCCTACCTACGCAGGCACCTATCTCCAACACCTGGACTGCTGTGGGAGGTACCCACCCTCCTGCCAATGCTGACCGTCTCTCCCGCCAATCGGCAGCGGCCCGTTTGTAAGGGGCCGGCTGCCCCTCAGACAACAAGGCAGACCACCAGCTACAGCACCAAGCAGCCTGCAAAAGGGCACTACCGACAACTGCTTAGCCCCACTATCCACCCCTTGCAAAAACCCTCAGGAACATGAGTCCCGTGAGCTGCGCGAATACGCACGCTTGATCCTACCTACGTACCTACCTACCTACCTAGGTAGGTAGGCAGACAACTGTTTCAGACTAGCCTAAGCATGTAGATCTATATCTATATCTACCCGCACTAGATACCCAGATTACACCAGGCCAACGTCTCTGGCCACAGCTGATCCAATTGATACTGTACTATACAGTAACTCCCTTGCCAACTCTATACACAACCCGATTCTCGGCAGTCTTAGACCTATACATAGCCCCTGGCCCCTCGCTTCAAACAACGCCCCCCATGACTGCTCACAAGGGAGCTCTTGTGCGACACGCACGCCGTCAAGGTAGGTGTCTCCCCCTCCCCCGTCCAACAGCTCAAAACATCCAGGGCTGCTGGGTTTGCCCATGCTCATCTTTCCTACCCAGACATACCTGCTATCCTTGGCCTCATCAAGGAGCTAGCAGACTACGAAAAGGAGCTCAGCTCGGTCGAGGCCACCGTGGAAAAGCTTGGCTCGACTGTCGCCTTTGCGCCATCGGAGCTCTCCCCGGGCGAGCCGACAACAGACGCCCGGGGGCTGCCCATCACAGAGCCGACCAGCCCCCTCAGGCCCGCCAGGTGCCTCCTGCTCTATGCACCCGACGACGACAAGACGGCCGTGGGCATGGCCCTGTACTTCTACAACTACTCCACATGGCGCGCCAAGGCGGGCATCTACCTCGAGGATCTCTATGTCACCCCGCGCGAGAGGAACAAGGGCTACGGGAAGCTCCTGCTGGTGACCCTGGCCAGGGAGGTTGTAGCCATGGACGGCGGCCGACTGGACTGGAGCGTCCTCAAGTGGAATGAGCCCAGCATTCGATTCTACGAGGATGTCATTGGCGCAACACGCCAGGAGGAGTGGGTGGGAATGCGGGTGGACAGGGAGGGGCTTGTGAAGTTGAGCAAGTTGCTGGACTGAGACGGGGGCAGCTGGGTCCGGATTGTCTCGGGGCAGCAGAGCATCAACCAAGTCGGCGCGCCACACCTACATACACAACACGAAATAGAAGATAGGCAGATAGACCACGGCGCGCAAAACAGCTTCACTAGAGTTGCCTGGCCCTGTTCTTCCCCGTCCTGGTGACTTCAGGGGCACCGTCGAAGAAAGTGGCATGTGCGGCCGCCGCGATAGGGACGTCCTTGGACACCTTGCCCCAGGCGATGTCCCACTTGCCCTCCACGCCGGGCTTCGCTTCCATGGTGGGGGTCATCTCCCATACCTTGGCATACAGCCGTCTCAGTAACCTGGGCGTGTATCTGCGCAGGCCGATGGGGGCGCTTTGCCCGTGCGGGCCCGGCGCCGGGTGACCAGTGCGGCCACGCTGGGATCTGGAGCTGGCCCGGTCAACAGACCGCACGGGCTCGGTGGCGTAGGCGTGCCAACGCCACTGTGTGCTTGCGCCGTGGTCGCCGTGGTCGCCATGCAGAGGAGCGGCGGGCTGGCGTCTGGGCGGCATCTGGCACAGAGCGCTGCTGTCGGCGTGGCCCAGGGCCAGGGCGCGCAGGGTTTGCCAGTCGCTGGTGGGCAGCGGGGGCAGGATGCGATTGATGAGCCGCACGTACTCCTTGCGCAGCTTGCTCCGGGCCAGTTTGGCCGGCAGTGGCCTCTCCCAGATGTCGATGCGGGGCAGCCTGGCGGCCGGGTCTGTCTGGCTGGGCTTGATATCGGGCCTGGGGCTGTGGACTGGGCCGCGCTTGGCCTGGGAGACGGCAAGTGCTCGCAGCTTGCGGGTGTCCCACTTATCCAGCCAGTCTGGGGGCCGCTGGGCGAGGGAGCCGTCCTTTGCGGTGTACGTCCTGGAGTCTGTATCGCGTGCGATTGCGGCTTCGAGTTGGGCAGAGTCGGCGGGCGGGTCCTGTCGCAGGAGGGCGTGGATAAGCAGCCTCCTCCTGCTGCCGGTCCTGCCGAAGACGAGGAGCAGGATGCGGTACAGATTGTCCACGAGGCCGTTGTTGGCCGCGTACAGGAAGCGGAGGTCATGGCGGGCCTGGCGGACGCGGCGTTTTGTCTGTAGGCAGGTGGGCTGATCGGCGGCGTGTCGGCGGAAGCGGGAGACGATCTGTTGTCTGATGTATGGCTGGCATATGGGGGGCAGGTAGGACGCCTGGCGGAGGAGGCCGCGGTAGATGTGGACGATGGGGTCGGCCGGGGCGACGGCGACGGAGAGGGAGCGGCGCATGGTGAGGAGGGCACGCCTGCACTGCGGGTTGCTCTGCGTTGGCGGTGGAAGGCGGGCGGATGGAGAGGAAGGACAGTGGTGGGTGGTGAGGTGTTACATGTGTTGCATGTGTTGCGTGCGTGCACAAGTCTATACGGGCACACGGGTATGGGTACCTAGGTACGCGGATACAAGGGTGTACGTGCAGAATTGGCCGACGCGTGTGGTTTGTGCGCTCGGTGGGCCGTGCTAGCCCGACCACACGAACTCCGCACGAAACAGACACGTCCCGGGGTGTCGACTTCGACCTGCAGCCCATGCACGCACTCAAATGTACATCTACAATACCTGCCTACCCAGGTAGGCTATGTATCCAGCCTATGCTCACCTGACCTCGCGCCAGCAGAGCGTACTCACTCCCTCTCCTCGCCCTCGTCCCTCTCGCTCCTGGTGTCACGGCGCTGAGACTTCCTCCACCCACCCATACTCACGTAGGTAGGCCACTCTCGTCTCATCGCGAGTCCCGGTGGGAATCTGCAGTCTCGTGCGCGGGTTGTCGGCCTGGTCAGTCCGTCTTGTCTTGTCTCCCCAAGGTACTTTCGCAAGCACGGCGCCTCGACACTCGACACTCGACCCGACTCGAATCCGCCTCAGCCACCCGCCCCGACCCCGAACCCCCGGCACCGACCTTGACATCCTCGCCAAACATCGCGCATTTCAGCCTCGTGCTGCGTTGCCCAGAACGTCTCTCGCCACCCTGCCCTCGAGAGGCCGGCTGCCATCCGACAAAGTAGACTAGCGAGAACAATCCATTGTCGCCGCAGCATCAATGGGTCTCTGACACTCGCTATTTCGTCCCAATTCCACCCAACACCTAGGTATGGCATCGGCGCTCTCTGACCACGCAGCCTGTCGCCGCTTCTTACACTCTTCCCAGGGCGCCCCCGAACATCTCATCTGATTCGACTCGGACTGCGTACCATCGCCCTCCGCCTACACCTCCAGCACATCGACAGCTTCCTGCCGCCATCTGGTCGCCTTCGCGCGCATGTCAATGTCACAGCCACCCCACCACCACTATCACCTCTGCCCTTCGCAACAATCCGCCAGCGCTGCCTATTACCAGTCTGCAACCCCCCTGTCCTCCACCATGGACGACGACCATCTCCCCCAGATCTATTCTGTCCGTGAAACTCCCCCCCCCCCCCGCCGGATCTCCGCAGCCCACCGCACACTGCAAGGCCGGTGCCACTGACTTTGCTTTCGCAGTCCGTCTACTCCGGCGTCGAAGTCTACGAGATGGAGGTCAACGCCGTCGCCGTCATGCGCCGCCGTCACGATAGCTGTCTCAATGCCACTCAGATTCTCAAAGTTGCCGGCTTGGATAAAGGGAAACGAACAAAGATCCTTGAGAAGGAGATTCAAACCGGCGACCACGAGAAGGTCCAGGGCGGCTACGGCAAATACCAAGGCACCTGGATATCCTATGATCGAGGTGTCCAGGTCTGTCGCCAGTACGGTGTCGAGGACCTCCTCCGGCCACTGCTCACATACGACATGGGCCAGGATGGCACTGCTGCGGGCCGCGGCGACCTCAATACCCCAACCAAGGAGCAGGCCATGGCTGCCCAGAGGAAAAGGCTCTACAGCCAGCCGATCAACAACAGATCCAACAGCATGTCCGGCACATTCTTCAAGAATATATCATCCACCGCATCCAACGCCGTTGCCGCCATCAGCAAAGCCAGGCTCGGCTCGCCGGGGCCCAGAAGCCGCGGTGGTCTCTCGAGGGCCCCCAGCTTCAACCGCCAGCCCTCTGCCTCTATGCAGAGCGTGGATGACTTCCCGGGCAACTCGCAGCAGAGCTTCACCTCTGATCTCGGCAGGAATGGCGACTCCGCATACTCTGCACAACGTAACAACGCGCAGCCAATGAGCATCGACGGCGCTGAGCCCCCTAGGAAGAGACCGAGGGTCGCGGTGACACCAGCAGATAGCTTTGGCCAGTCGCAATCCCAATCCCAGTCCCAGTCCCAGTCGCAGAGCATGTACATGAGCGCCGACAACTTCCCAGGCTCCCCCACCGAGCCTAACGAGTCCTTCATCTACTCTCAACATGGTCTGAATCTGCATCAGGTCGAGGACCATGACGGTGTTTCTCCTCTTCCACCATTACCATACGACGAGTCTGTGGATGCCGAGGCCACCCGCAAAACACTCCTGACCCTTTTCGCGGAGCCCGCGGAGCCTGATGCGTTTGAGGAGCTGCGGTCCTTGACTCCCTCGGAGTTGGATATGCCCATCGACAGCCAGCACCACACTGCGTTGCACTGGGCCGCCACGCTGTCGCGCATGAGCATTGTTCAGGCCTTGATCAGACATGGAGCCAATCCCTTCAGGGTCAACTCTGAAGGTCAGACTGCCCTCATGCGCGCGGTCATCGTCACAAACTCTCACGACAACTTCTCCTTCCCTGAACTGCTGGACCTGCTTGGCCACACCCTTGAAGTGGCGGACAACAAAGGTCGCACAGTACTGCATCACGTCGTCGTCACAAGCGCCATAGAACGTCGGCATGCCACGAGTAAATACTACCTCGACTGTCTGCTCGAGTGGGTTGTCCGCCAGGGTAGCGCCCCGAGCAGTCAGGATCATGCGGCGAACTCCACCAGGCCCCCGTCAAGTAACGGCCACAAAATAGGTCTGGGTCGATTCATGATCGAGGTGGTCAACGCCCAGGACAAGGCAGGCGACACGGCACTAAATCTGGCTGCTCGAATTTCGAACCGCAGCATCATCTCACAGCTTCTCGAGGTGCATGCTGACCCTTCAATACCAAATCGTGTCGGCTTGAGACCCGTAGATTTCGGGATCGGCGAGCTGCCCGAGGCGGAGAGGGAGGTCGAGGACGTGGCAAAGACCGATCTGGCGGTGAGCACGCAAAGGAGCAAGGAGAGCAGCGATGATATTGTGGAATGTAAGTCACGCGCCCTTCGCCAGCCCCCTCGGCCAATTTCTAACAGCCGGCAGCCATGAAAGACCTGCTGGGAGAGACAGCCGCGATCGCGCAAGAAGAGCTGAGGGCGAAGCAGGATACCCTTGATGAGCTCCAGACAGCGCTGAGAGCAAACTCGTCAAGGCTTGCGGAGACGCGGCGGAACCTCGACGTTGTCAAGGACAAGGCAAAGCAGCAGCAACTCAACCGACAACAGGTTGCAAATCTGTCTCGCGAGCTGGAAAGTCTCCAATACCGCATGGGCCACATGGACAACGAACAGGCTGCCTCACAGAGCAACTCTGCCGCAGCTTGGGAGGACGAACTCGAGAGGACCCTAAGCTCGGCCGAACACCAGCCTGCGTTGCCGGATGCTAATATCCTCCGCGCCCGCCTGAAAGCAACGACTGATATTCTTAACACAATGCAAGATAAGGTATCCAACCTGAAAGGCACGAGCCGAGATATCGAGTACAAGTACAGGCGCCTGGTTGCCCTGGCGGCCAACTGTCCCGAGAGCCAAGTTGACGACTTGCTTGAGGGCCTGGTCCGGGCCGTGGAGAGTGAGAAGGGAGAACTGGAGATTGGCCGGGTGCGGAAGTTCCTGGGCGGTGTTGACGGTCCATAGGTTGCTTCTCCATGAGACGCTTGTTCTGTTCCAAGCCGAGGCCTGAGTGGGCAACAATGCCAGGCCTGGCGCTGCGCTTTGAAGCGGCGACATGCGCCCAACCTGCTGATGAGGCAGCGTTTCTTATGTGCGCTCCGAGAGTGGTGATACTGGGTCGCGTGTGCCAATTTGCCAGAGGATAATTACTCCTCTGTGTTCTGTATTTGGCGTGGGGAAACTGGGGCGCGAGGGGTGTGCCCTTTTGCATGATACCAGTACCGCCTTTTTAGTTGTCATCTAGTTTTGCCGTTGGCTAGGCGTCACCAATATCCATATGCCCACGGGCTGGAGGTGGTGATCAAGTAGCTGGATTTGAATAGCAGCAAGAATCAAATGATCACTGCATGATATTTACCGCTCTCCAGCATCGCTCTCCGAATCGCAAGGTTCATCACGCTAGGTACCAATGCAACAGACGCATCGCCATGAGTAGCGCTGCGTTCCGATCTGCTGGGGGCTTGGTCCCTTGGGCCTATGCATACTACGTAGCCATGGTCGTTCTTCAAGCCCGAGACCATGTTGTCCCATCTGGTTGTAACGGTAGGCTTCCTTGCTCCTCAACCGAGCTTTGGACAAAAGGCAGGCCCCACTAATCAGAAGGGGGTAGCAAAAGTGGCAGCAGACTACACAAGAGGATGGTTCTGCTGCAATGACATACTCAGCTATATTGTGATTGATTTCTAGGTAGTCCTTAGTCCCAGGCATGACAGTAGTCATTCACCCGCCCGTGTTCGATGCAGTAAACGAAGGACTTATTCCAATCTGTGCCCACACGGCGCCATCCATCGTACCTATTGTTGGAGGTGACCGAACTCCCTCTCCATCGGTATCCGCTGTTTCGAGAAGCTACTGGTTGCTAGATCCCTTGCTGTCACTGGGGGAAGAGGTCGTCCGGTCAGACTTATCCACTGTGGTGCTTGGCCAGGTATCGGCGAGGTGACAACTTGGCCTAGAGGTGATAGGTCAGTCAATGTGCCCAGCGCATGAGAAGACGTCCGGCCAATTCATATATTTGATGCAACCGTCTCCCATCAGGGATAATACTCACTTCCGTTCATGCTCAGTTGCGCCGTCATCATACACACATTCCTCAAATCTTTCCAGGAAATTTACCCCGTTGTCGTCGTCTGGAAGACCAAGGGGCGTGTCGAGCGGAGTCTCACCCTCACATTCCTCCATGGCACGCGGGGAGCAGAACTGGACTACATTACTCAGCTGGCCCGTGAGATCCAAGGTGATCTTGTTGATCACGAAATGGAGTCTCCAAATGTGACTCTTTCCTTCGACGAGTGTGAAGGCTTCGAAATATGTCCTGTATCTGTTGCGCCTTGCAGGGGTCTGATAGCAGCAGAGTCCGTTGTCTTGTTTGCATCTGTGATGTGTCGTGTTCGGGTAAGTTTTCGGGAGCAGGGCCTCAAGATTTGGGTCTGTGATGCTGTCTTCGCATGGTACTCTCTTCCCCTCGAGCCCAGGCCAGTCAACCTATTCTCGGCCCAAGTCCGACTCATCGGAAGCATCACGACTGGTCCAAGAGGGAGCATCGCGGACACAGTCACCAGTGGCGCCCATACATTCGAGGCAGCCCTCGTCGGTGACGGTGACCAGGCTTCCTGTCAGCTGTGGTCAGTCCAGATCAAAGTGCATGTGACCAGACCTGCAGTGGCAGTGGCTTTTCTCGACGCACCTAGGTCAAATGAATACTCGGTTGAGATATCCGAGTCATCAGGACCACAGTCACAGAGGAGGTGGGCAACCTCTTGGTTGCGCTCGCCCCTGTCGACAATGTAGCAAGGACTGCAATAGTCGGTGAAGGCGCCGCTGGGTGAACACGTACCGTCAGCTTGGTGTGAATCCTGCCAGGTACGGTCACTTACTCTTTCACAGGGGCCAGCCCCGCCGTGTATCCACGGAGGCCTAGGTGGGCGGCTCGAAGACCCCAGCCTAGACATTGGTCGAGGTCCACGGACGTCAGCACAGCATCTCCAGTGCCGCGGCATTTTCCAGATAGGACGCCATCGCTGTGGTCAATGGACAAGTCGTCACATGCATCGAGCAGGCTGGGACCAGCCTGGGAGGCAGCTACCAGAGCTAGGAACTGGGCGAGGTGAGGGAGGAGGATACGGAAGCTCTTCATCTTGGCGTTATTGCGGCGTGGTGCGCTTGGGACAAGTCTCGGAATCTCAGGGGATGTTTGGGTTAGGTGGTCCAGAGAGCGGCAAGGCGGCAAAGAGAAATAGGATACTGAAGGTAAGAAGTGATGGTATTCATGTGGTACTTGATCAAGCAAAGGTGTCGCATGTGTGCATGTCGTTGCTCAGCTTGCGAAGGAGGTGTTGTTTGGAAGACCTGGGGAGATGTGAGCAGTCGGGCCCAATGTTTGCTACCTACCTAGGTACCCACCAGGTGCCTACTAGGTAGTTACGTACCTAAAGGTAGGCAGGAGTTGGTGGCCTCGGGTTCTAGGCGCCTGCCTGTCACATGTGCTTTACTTGAACGGAAGGAATGAGAGGACAGGAAGGAGAGGACAGAGTGCTGGCAGATGCTTACCTGGGAGCAAAAGCCTCGAACCTACCTAGGTAGGTGGGTGGGTAGGCAGGTAGTGAGTGGCGCATGGCTCCTGTCCCGAGAAGAATGATGGGAGCAGCACCGTCAGGGCGTCTAGGTAGAGTCCTAATGTATTATACATGTACCAAGCCTGGTAGCTCCAGTAGGTATGTCATGTCAGGATGTAATTGGATGGTAATGCCAGCCAAGTGCTTAAGAGATTATCTGCCCCTGAACGCCCACGCTATGCCCCCGGTCCTTTTTCTGGCAAGCTGTAGATCCTGGATCGAAACTCCCTCGACAAGCACGCATTAAGTTCCCGCGTGCTGACCAATTGCACCGTCCTCCAGGCAGGTTTCAAGCCGCGGCCCGCTGCGAATATAAGCCCTCCCACCGGTGCTCCACCCCGTCCACGGCGTTGCTCAGGGCGTTGATTTCGCGGTCCAGCTCCTCCACGTTCTTGTTCAGCGCCCCGACTTCCTCGAATCGTCGCGAGGCCCGCGCATTGTTGACCATCTCCTGCACCAGGAACCTCTGCTCCTCCAGCACCACCAGTCTTTCCCGGAGTTCCTTCTCCTCCGTCTCAAGCGCAGACACCGCCGTGCTCGCCTCGCTCGCCTCACCGAGGCTGGCCGTTTCTGACCCGGGCTCGGCCGACTCGTTTTTGCGCAAGGGGGACAACGCCCCAGGCACCGACCCGGAGCTGCCGTGCCGTTCTGTAGCACCCAGAAGCCGCCGGTGACTGCTCGGGTTGCCCGGGTTGCTCATGTTCCTCTTGAGCATGTTGGGCAAGCTCTTCATGGGAAGCATGTAGGCGTGTAGAAAGGAGCTTGCGGCTGTGTACACGTTCTTCTGGAGCCTGAGCTGCGTCGCGCTCGTGGTTTTCATGTCACGTATGCGCTTTGCCGCAACGTGGTATTTCGCAAAGCTGTCTGTCAGCCTTTTGCGTAGTTTGTTCGCTTCCTGGATCTGTGCGTGCGATGGCGGTGGCCTATCCAGCGAGAACTCGTCATCTGGCGGCTGGAGTGCCACCAGCGCCCTCTGGAATGACGGCATCAGAAGCCGGATCCCGCGTTCAAACTGGCGAAGTGTCTCGTAGGCCCTTTGATCCGGTGGCTTAAGCGTGACCGCGTCCTGAAAATTGCGCTTGGCGAATATCGTGTGTTTGCAGTCGCGGCACATCCGGACGTCGACGCTGATGTGGCTGCCCTTGGGCATGTCGGCCTTCTCGTTGCCAGTCCCGTTGGATACCGGCTTGGAGACGTTCAGTCCAACCTCGCTGGAGCACTCCGTCTGCGCATCTGCACAGACGACTCTGCCACACATCCGGCAATGGTGCCTCCTGAACGACCAGGAGAATTCCTGCTGGCAGAATGGACACCGGGGAACGTTGGCGTCTTCCTCCCACGTGACAACAGACTGCTCGAGCTGCTTCCGTGCATTCTTCTGTCCGGCCAAGGATGCGACTGGTGTCAGCAGCCCCCCGCCACCCCCGACTGCCTCATCCGGGGGGTAGGCCAGCAGCTGCGTCAACTTGGTCAACCTCTTCTCCAGCCTCTGGATTTCAAGGTTCTGCCTCTCGACCTTCCTCCTCCTGATTGTGACAAAAGCACCCGTGTGGTCCACCATGACACCGCTGTGGTCGTTGTACCCCTCCCTGGACTTGTAGCAAGTCTCGCAAACTCGACACCAGTAGCCCCTGACTGGCTCGTGGGTTGCTGACCTCGAGAGCTTCATTTGATACAGGGTGTGTACCTCGCAGAACAGCCTGCCGCAGTTCCTGCAGTTGACGTTGCCGTCCAGGGCCCCCAGGCTCTTACCACATGACGGCTCAGTGCACCTGTCGTTCCCAGTCGAGCGTTGCCAGTGTTTCCTCGTCACCATCTCGTCCGGGTCTATGACGGTGTCGAGCGGTGGCCTGGGGCCGGCGGTGCTAGGAGGCGGTGCGATTGGTTGTCTCGTTCGGCTCGAAGACTTCAAGGCCGCGTAGTTTGGAGTTGATCAGCGACAGGGGCTGGAAGCGCTTGGCCTTGAGGACCTGCTTGTCGAACCACGTCTTGACCTCGTCCTGCTGAACCTCGGGGAGCTCTTGGTGGTTGTCATCGATGTGGCGGTTGAGTTGGAGCAGCGTCAGCTGTACACACTTGGAGTTCAGCATTGTGCCGGAAGCAGGCCGTTCTTCGGCTGGGGCAGAGGCTCTGTGCCTACCATCTCGTCGTCACATATTGGACAGACCAGCCTCGAGCTGGAGGCGTCAGCATCGGAAGGGCCGCCGATACTGATCCGGGAGGCAAGGTCCTGGGGGCCAAAGTCGGCGATGGGGGTGGAAGATGAGGGCGGGGAGATGGAGTTCTGGGAGGTGGAATAGTGGTCGGTGGATGAGGCGTCCGAGGGCGCACAGGGGCTGGTTTCCCGTGCGCGCGGCTTCGACGGTCGAGGGTGAGGCTGGGGCGGCGCGAGGCCTTTCCCGTTTCCTATGATCCTCCCTCCTCCGAGCTTCCGGGCCGACATGATGGGCGTCGTGCTGGGTGGTGACGGTGCACCGTCGGAGTGCTCAGAGGACGGACTGTAACCAGGTGGGCGGCGAGGTACGTGCGGTGATGTGGAAAGAGGTCACGACAAGGTCACATGTTGGCTCCCCCCTTTCACCAAATTGAAGCACAAGTGTGTGACAAGATGCACATGCCTCCTGGAATCCCACGCAGTCGTGATCGTTGTCGTGGTTGTCGTCGTCGTCGCCGTCGTTGTTGTCTTTGCGGTAGGATCCAGGGTGCGAGGCTCAGCGGTCGGACATGTAGGAGTTGGAACCATGAACCTTGGCGGCAATACAGTGGATTGCCTGCATGTGCCTAGGCTGAGTAGACCCCAAGAGACATGCCACTGTGAGCTGTCAGCTCGTGCGACCGTGTACCAGGGTAGCCGAGGCACCGTGCGCATGGCGGGTCCATGCTCCCAAACCCCGTCGTCGGAAATCTACCCTGGTACTTGTCTACCTAGGTCAGTATGCGTGCTGCCGGCATCGCCTCGCTCGATTGAGAGAACCATCTCTCTATTTGGCAGATCATGTGCGCATCGTGTCTACGTACCTACTGAGGTATGGAAAATCCATCTACCCACATGTCCAATGAAGCTCCTACTTTACACCTATTAAGGCGGTATAGACGGTAGTCGACCTGCTTTTCGAGACTGCCGCTGGAAAGGATCCTCATGTCTGAATCACGGATAGATAATACCTAGGTACTTACTGGTAACCACCGCCCATGCCCCTCTCCCAGGTCCCCTCCCCGCCCCCAATTGTGTGGCGCCCATTTGAGGTCATTCAAGACACACCCACTGCCTATTTGATTGACGAGCTCCTCAGCACACGAGCATCACGATCCGACTGGCAAGCATGGGCTCAGAGAAGGACCAATTCCCAGAGGTCCAGGGCGGAGGCAGCCTCATCCTAGCCTGGCAGATCAAGGCCAAGAACGTGCTGGTCGTCGGCGGCGGCGAGGTACGTGAACCACTCCATACCAAAATCCGGCTCTGTCACCGCGCCAAATTGTCTTTCCAAACACTCCTGACTCCTCACGCTCATCCTCTCTCATCAGGTCGCGGCCGGGCGCATACTCAACTGCCTCAACGCCGACGCCGCCGTTACAGTCATATGCCCCTCGTCCGGCCTCAACCCAGAAGTCGCACACCGCGTCTCTGCCGGCCAGGTGACCCACATCGACAGGAAGTTCGAGCCAGGCGACCTCGACCCGGACAAGAACGTAAACATGGTCCTGACCGCCATCGACGATCCAAAGGCCTCCACCGAGATCTGGAAGCTGTGCAAGGAGCGGCGCATCGCCGCCAACATTGCAGACGTCCCGCCCGAGTGCGACTTCTACTTTGGCAGCGTCCACCGCGACGGGCCCTTGCAGATCATGGTGTCCACCAATGGCAAGGGGCCCAGGCTCGCCGCCTCCATTCGCAAGCAGATCGCCGCTACCCTTCCCAAGAATGCCGGCGCCGCCGTCGACAAGGTGGGAAGGCTGAGGGCGATGCTGCGCAAGATCGAGCCCGGCCCCGAGGCTGTCGCCAGCAGGATGGGCTGGATGATCAACGTGTCCGATGCCTACAGCTGGGAAGCCTTCTGTGACCTGACCGAGGAGGACATGGAGAACCTGCTGGCCTTCTACTCCAGCGGGGAGGTTCCGTCCTTGGATCTACTCAAGAGCATGAGACGAGACTTCTCGCCCGAGACTGTGTTTGACGGCTCATTTGGGTTCTCTGTTGGGTGCTAAAAATAGGGCCAGGGCTAGCATTGGACATGAGATCACAACAAGCTTCTTGCTCTCGGAACATAACACCCATGGGTGACACGAGGCGGTACATTGAGTGGAATTCTCGGCGTTCAGGTTCTTGCATATAGAGTGGCTGGGTATCACCGACAAACACGTCTTTTCTGGTTTGTTGCATCGCGGGGTGCGGGCGATCACGGAGAACGAGATGAGCGATACGCGAGGTCGTTCTTGAGTTGGGTATTGTTAATATCTTGTCAATCAGACGGACTTCCCACCACACCACGCGGCTTCTCGTCTGGTGGCTTCACGCGGGCCTTCTCCAGGAGCCCACCCAAGACACCCCATGTGGCCCTCTGCTTGGCATCTGGAATACCATCCACGCTTGGAGGCATGGCGAAAATCTTGACCCGCCCCTCGGACAACACGAAGCCTCCGCAGGCGATCTTGGATATCCGAACTGCTGGGTGGAACATGTCAAGGGCGAGATGTTGCTGCACGTACTGGGCCAAGGCCTCGATGAATGGTTGTGGCGGGCCAGAATCGAACCTGCTACCAGAGTGCTCCGACATAGCAGGCCACCGCCTCCAGGTCCAGCCCTCCTCGTCCTTGTCGCCTCCAAATCTCCTGCGCTTCGCCTCGATGTACGGGTCTCTACACTCAGCGCCGGCCCTTCTGCGCTTGTCTCGAGCCTGGTCCGGGGGAGCATATTTTTCCATCTCGTATGCCTTACCTGCAGTAATAAAGCGCAGAAGGTCGGCACTGGGAACGATGACGTCGATCGACTTGAGTCCCGAGGCGGTCTCTGATGCTTCTGGAGCATCGTCGTACCCAGTCGTCTGCTTGATCTGGACTATGTCTTGCTGTTGATGTTGCTCCTGCTGCCGCCTCCGCCGCCGACACTGCATCACCGTCGAAGGGTGGAATCCCAGCGTGAGCACCACGTCTCTGGCAGAGTTGAGGTTGGTCTCGGGACCAAGCTCGCCCGTCCACGTCTCCAGAGCGCGCACCAGACTTTGAGTGCCGAGGCTCAGGGAGCTGACGCGACAGTCGAAGGTGCGGTTGAGGAAGCTGATAATGGCGGCTTTCAAAGGTGCGGGCATACGCAGTAATAGGAGAGGTAGGTGTAGGAAGGCAGGGTCCTTCTCGTCAGGTCTGCCGACGGCGAGGTTGAGTAGAGGGTCAGGGGCCGATGGTGCGTGGTCTGCCGCCACATTTCCAGAGGTCGCGGCGTCCTGGATGGATGGCAGTAGCAGCGCTGCACACTCGGCATGCTCATACTGCAGCGAGATCTGTAGGCCCCTCGTCTTGCCAGGCGAAGCCCACGCGCCGGTGCTCGTGCTCGAGCCAGACACGTCTCCAGTTTGGTCATCACCCGAGTCCCCGCCATCCAGCGTGGGGTCGCGTTCCCGTCCGTCTTGCTGCTGGTTCCTGCCAGGACAGGGCCCGATCAGGCCGTCTAGCGTGACCCAGGCGATGGCAACGGTCTCCAGGGCGCCGGTCCTCGACATGGCGCCGTCATCGGCAGCACGATCTAGTCCCACCTCGACACCTCTCACGACATCACCAACCAGGAAGTCGCGAAGGCGATGGGACAGGGTGTGTATTCGGTCTTGTGTAAGGGGTTGGGGGCCGACGTGCAGGGGCGACAGTCGGTGGGTGGAAAAGGTGGTGTTGAGAAAAGGGGTCAAGGGGTGGCCGTCGTCACCGTCGTCGGTAGAGACAGAGGAGGTAGGCGGGTGGGACGGCGAGGAGGCCTGGATGCTGTGATGGGTGGCTGCGTGTGCATTTGAGCTGACTTCTGGGTTGGAAGCCGGCGACGGGGCGCTCTGTGGGTGGGAGGGGCGGCTGCGCTTCGGTGGGCGACCGGGAGGCATGTTCGTGGGCAACGGTGAGTAGCGAGTCAATTATAAAAATTTTGAGAAAAAAAAAAGGGAGGCTCTGGCTGTTGGCGCCCCGGCACTCAATAAACCGGTAGGTGGTCGCCGTCTCCGTCTGGACCAGATGAGCAGTATTGATCGAAGTGTGGAGTTGAGGGAGATGGCGTCACAGCGCGCAAAAGCGCGTCGAGTCGCGTCGGCGGATATCGTATCCTGGTATACCGTGCTGTGCCCTGGCTGGCTGGCTGGCTGGCTGGCTGGCTGGCTGTACAGGTGTTGAATCATGGATGGGCGTTGCGATTTACTTGGGAGTCCGGAGAATGCAGCGGCTAGGACACATGGGCATTGTCGTTATTGGCAAAGCATTGCTTGCATACAGATAGATGTATTGTGTAGGTGCTCGGCAGCTATGCAGCTTTGGTGGTGACGGACAATTTGGGGATGGGGTGCGTGGGGTACGTCGAGCACGTCCCAAACTGAGAAACCCTGGAGCAACCCTGGCTGTCTTTCTTGGGTGCTTGTGATCTGCAGGAGGAGATCAGAAGGAACAACAGCGGAGCGGAGCACACAGGCTGGACTGGCAAGCACGACAGGGGGGGTCAGGGCTCCTCCCCCGCATTGCCCATCCCTCCACCCACCTGCCCGCCGAACCTTATTTGACAGCACAACCGGCAGCGAAGTGGCCTGCTCTACATGCAGCCGTAGGGAATAAGTCGCGAGTACCTACCTACCTGTAGGTACCGAGTGGGTGCCCTGGGTGTCCAAACACGTAATCGAGGTGCGGAGATGTCTGATTGGCAGGCACTCCCAGCGTGGCACAGGACAGTCCCTACTTGTTGGGGGTATGTATCGGCGTCATGGACTTCTGCTCCCAATCAACCCCGATTGGTTCTCGCCCAAGGCTGCTCGACGGTCAACTCATGCCACATGTACCTAGGTAATAAAGACTGCCGACTATGAACTCTCTTCAGTCAGGCCAGAGCCCTCTTTCAGTGCCGCGTGTCTGGCACGTCTGGCATATTCTGGCACAATGTAAAACGCAGTCTACTACTTGCATTTCCCAGACGTTTGAGACCAAGGAGAATGGAGTGTGTGGTCTGAGACTTGGAAACTTTACCTGGGGATGGTTGGATGGTTTTGGGGAACCTCGGGGGGAACTGCTTCTGGACCACAGGCCTTGGGCCAGAGATCGATCGAAGTGGGCAGGTGGGGGGGGCAGGGGGTTCGGGTAGACGGGTCAGACGGGGTGGGGTGATTGATGGTCGACAAGCTGACTCGGCAACAAACCTTGGCTCTGTGTGTATAAAGCAGCATCCTCTCTTGGGTGCATACTGTATTGTATGTGCCTGGGCTAGGTAGGTATCTGGCCAGATCGTACAGTGTATGTATCACGGCCGCGGGACGCGAGGATTGCGTGGCATTTGGGGCCCCGTCTAGGCCAGGCCGAGCTATCTCCGTTTTGCACCGCACCGCTGGCACGGCGCGGCATGCCAGCCATGGGCATGCCTCGCGCAGAGCATGGCAGGAGAAGGACAGGAAGAGGGAGGGAGGGGCATAACCTTGTTCCCCATGCACACTATGCACGCTAGCTTGCTGCGCAGACACTACCTAGGTAGGTGCCGACTGTAGGTACTCCGTACGGCAAGTCGCGACCGTTCGTCGTCTCAGGTGCCAGCCAGCCACTTGGGCCACGTTGATTTCCAATTCCCAATTGCCCCCGCCCCTCGACACCCGTCTTCCCCCCTTCCCCCGTGCGAGAAAGAGGTGATATGGGTGATGGATGGTGGCAGACAACCGGTGCGCGCCCCCACCTGCTCCGGTTCTGGCCTGACCACGCGGGGCTCCCCAGCTTCCCAAGCTCCCAATCGCCCCAGCAGAGCTCTGACATGGCCGAGTGTTTCGATGCCGAGCTACCTCCCCTGCCGGGCAATGCCACCACGTCTGTGACTCTGTGACTCTGTGACGCTGTGACGAGGACGAGGCCAGGACGACACCGGCCGTCGCTGCCGCCGCTGCTACTGCTGCGGGGTTGGCCCTTCCTGCCTCTGCTTGATTCGCCACCTCTTGCCTCCTCCCAAGCATCCCAAACCACCCCTCCTCTTGTCCTGCCTCGCCCGCCCGTTTATATACCCCCAGGCCTACCCTCCCCCGCCCTCTCCTCCGCTTTCCCTCCGCCATGCTGTCTCACATAGCCAGACCATCATCAATCTCGGCGAGGAGCACTCATCTTCCTGATCTCAAGACCTCTCTGACACTCAACCGCCTGTTCACCGTCAACAATAACAACCTCGCCTCCACAACCATCGTCGTCCATTCGCCCAGACAGCCGTCAACATGGGCAGCGTCGAGCAGTGCCCTCTTCACTCCAATGTCGCCGGTGGCGGCACCAAGAGCAAGGATTGGTGGCCCAACAAGCTGCGCCTCGATGTCCTGCGCATGCACTCGGCCTCGTCAAACCCCAGTGACAAGGACTTTGACTATGCCGAGGCCTTCAAGCAGCTTGACTATGCTGCCCTGAAGAAGGACCTCCACACCCTCATGACCGATTCGCAGGACTGGTGGCCCGCTGATTACGGCCACTATGGCGGCCTGATGATCCGCATGGCTTGGCACTCCGCCGGCACTTATCGTGTCTTCGACGGCCGCGGCGGTGGAGGCGACGGCCAGCAGCGTTTCGAGCCCCTCAACAGCTGGCCTGACAACGGCAACCTTGACAAGTCCCGTCGCCTGCTCTGGCCCATCAAGCAGAAGTACGGGAACAAGATTTCCTGGGCCGACCTCATACTGCTTGCCGGCAACGTCGCCCTCGAGTCCATGGGGTTCAAGCCCTTTGGCTTTGCCGGCGGCCGCCCCGACACCTGGCAGGCCGACGAGTCCGTGTACTGGGGTAGCGAGACCAATATGTTCCCCGAGGGTAACGACACTCGTCACTCCAAGATCCTCAAGGAGCTCAAGGCCAGCGGGACCTTGCAGGGCGACTGGTCCAAGGACACCGACATTCACCACCGTGAGCTCGAGGAGCCCATGGGAGCCACCCATATGGGTCTCATCTATGTCAACCCCGTCGGCCCCGACGGCATCCCTGACCCCCTTGCCTCCGCCAGGGACATCCGCACCACGTTCGGCCGTATGGCCATGAACGATTACGAGACCGTTGCCCTTATCGCCGGCGGGCACGCTTTTGGGAAGACCCACGGCGCCGCCCCTGACAGCAACTGTGGCCCCGCTCCCGCTGGTGCCGAGATCAACGAGCAGGGCTTTGGCTGGAAGAGCAAGCACGGATACGGCAGCGCCGGCGACGCCATCACCTCCGGGCTCGAGGTCGTCTGGACCACCACCCCGACCAAGTGGAGCAACGGTTTCCTTACCTCTCTCTTTAACAACGAGTGGGAGAAGGAGAAGAGCCCTGGTGGCGCCTGGCAGTGGGTCGCCAAGGACGCTGAAGCTACCATTCCCGATCCCTTCGACCCCAACAAGAAGCGCAAGCCCACCATGCTCACCAGCGATCTCGCGTTGCGCGCCGACCCCGAGTACGAAAAGATCTCGCGACACTTCCTCGAGAACCTCCCTGAGCTTGAGGACGCCTTCGCACGAGCCTGGTTCAAGCTTCTCCACCGTGATATGGGCCCTGTCTCCCGCTACCTCGGCCCCGAGGTCCCCAAGGAGGAGCTCATCTGGCAAGACCCCGTGCCCAAGGTCGAGCACCCCTTGGTTGACGACAAGGACGTAGCCCAGCTCAAGAAGGACCTGCTGTCTGCTGGTGTCGCACCTGATCGTCTTATCGCCACCGCTTGGGGCGCTGCCTCATCCTTCCGAAGCAGCGACAAGCGTGGTGGTGCCAACGGAGCACGAATCCGCCTTGAGCCCCAGAAGAATTGGGGTGCCAACAACCCACAGCAGCTGCAGCAGATTCTCAGTGCCATAGAGGGCGTGCAGCAGCAATTCAACAGTTCCGCCCCGGGCGGTAAGAAGATCTCCCTGGCCGATGCGATCGTCCTTGCTGGCACCGCCGCGGTTGAGAAGGGCGCAAGGGACGCTGGCCACAACGTCACGGTTCCTTTCACCCCGGGCCGTACAGACGCCTCGCAGGAGCAGACTGAGGTCGACTCCATCGACTACCTCGAGCCCAAGGTGGACGGATTCCGCAACTATGGCAAATCTTCTGCGCGTGTCAAGACCGAGGAGTACCTCGTCGACAAGGCTAATCTCCTCAACCTGTCCCCACCCGAGCTTACCGTCCTCGTTGGCGGCCTGAGAGCTCTGAACGCGAACTGGGACGGCAATTCCAACGGCGTCTTCACGAAGCGCCCGGGCCAGCTGACGAACGATTTCTTCGTCAACCTGCTCGACATGAGCACCACCTGGGTGGCCAAGGGCAACGACGGTGAGCTGTGGTCCGGAGTCGACCGCAAGACGGGTAGTGAGAGGTGGACGGCTACCCGCGCCGACTTGGTTTTCGGTTCTCACTCGGAACTTAGGGCCATCGCCGAAGTTTACGGCAGCGCTGACGGAGAGGTAAAATTGGTTCGAGATTTCGTAGCAGCCTGGAACAAGGTCATGCTGTTGGATCGATTTGATGTCAAGGGAGGTCAGAAGGCCGGCGGTTCGGGCTATAGACTATAAAGTCGGTCCCAACCCGTGGCCTTCATACCCAACATCAACACCTGCAAGTGGCGTTTTGTAAGGGGCGGTTTGCCGAAGTCGTCCCACATCATCTGTTCTCCAAAGTGTAGGCTAGATTGTGAGATAGCACGGAGAGAAAGAGACAAAACTTCTTCCCTCATGCTAGCGGAATTGTATCATTCGTGATGGTTTCCGCGTTACCGGAGCACTGTGACCACATCAGAGTCCCTTCGCGGTCGAGTCCTCAAGGCGGGTGGGACCCCGGGGGACTCTCCGACCAATGCGCGGCAACAGATGTGCAGCCTTGACTCCGGTCCTTGCCGACAACTTGTCCACGACCCGCTTTCAGTTGTATCCTCGCCAGATAAGCATCATTCCATGTTCAGAGGGTGTGGGTGCATCCATTTCTCCTCTGTATTCACGTCTTTTCTTACAGTTACCCTACCTTTGCCTTCCAAAGTTCACCGCTTGTGGAGCAGGACAAACAAATGGTTTACAATCCTTTTACAGCTCACATTGTGGCAGATGGGTGGAGGCTTGGACTCATAATGCGAGTCGTACATAGTCATTTGCATTCTTGTCTTGATACAGAGAAAGCGGTGTTAATTGCACATACTCCTCAAGTGTGGCGAGCCATTAACCCGGGCTTGTGAGAGGTGGGCTTTACTGCGTTGGTTTATGTAGTACGACGAATCTGCGGTATGCCTCTGGCGTAGAAACCGGTCGGTCGATATACCTAATTAAGGTATGCTACCTAGTCATTACATAATGTGCCCTGTGTGCACCCCGTTCGCGTCACCTTTCGCTACGATTGTCCCTGTTTAATCTTGTCGGGAAGCCCCCAGTTGGCAATATCTACAGTGAGCTCAGAATGAGTCCTGAAGAACAAAAAAGGCCGGGGCGAATTGGTATTCTCCTGAGAGCTCGGAGGAGTCTAGGAAACTGCAGTTTGTGCGAAGTCAATCCGGCTATTCGAGACATACTCGTTAATCTCCTGGGACTCGATTGTCCAGAACAGGTAGAGTGTTGGCCTCATTCTTCTTCTCTGGCTAGTCAAGTGTCGTCGATGCAGTACGGTGGGTGGCCTTTTCCCACCCCCAACACGTTTTGCTGTGACGCTGTGCTAATAAGAAGAACAATAATTCTGGGTAGTATAAAGATAGGTGCTGTCCGCTAGGTTGTCCTCATAAGAAGCATTTAAACTCGACAGGGTCATATGTCTCCTTGGGAACGTGGCTAGTCCATTGGTCAACGCTGCCCGGACTCTATACCTGCTATTGCTATCTGAAATCTCCTAGCTTCATTGAGGGATCAACTTCATGGCGGACCACGGTCCGCCGCACGAAACAAAGTGCCATTATATCATGGAATGACCAAAGGCCATGATTGTGAATTTCGAGGGCCGCCAGAGCCCACGATCATCAACCAATAGCCTACTACATTGGCTCTATTTCACACCGTCTCCAAACAACTTCATAGCTAGGTCATTACGCTGGTAAAATGTCGACATTCTATACTTAGTCTCGCCGCTGTATTGCTGCAGGTCCTGCAGAGCTTGTCGACCCTCACGAATGATTGTCTGCCGGATTTCCTCCGTTCTCGGCTCAATGCTACACTCGAAGGGCCGAGGGCGCATGTTAAGCCCGTTTCTGTCTTGTCGTTAGCTGGAGCGTTTTGTATTTATCGGCCACAATACTCACGTGTAGTTGAAGATATCCACCTCGAGGAGACTCCCGTCTGGCTGTCTTTTCTTCTGGATGTGGAAACCCCACAGGAGCCTGGCAATTGTGACCCAAGTCCCTTGCTCGGCCAGCGCCTGGCCAGAACAAACCCTTCTGCCCCAGCCAAAAGTCATGTAACCCCTCTCGCCCGGGAAGGGTCTGTTTTCCGGGCTTCCCGGCAGATATCTCCTTGGATTGAACTGGTCAGGATCCGGGAATTCACGTTCATTGTGATGAATTGCCCACACATTGCCCTGTATCCACGTTCCTTTCGGAATCAGCCAACCATTGTATGTATCGTCTTGAGTAGGCGAGTGTGGCTGCCCTCCGATGATAGCGACGGACCTCCATCTGAGAACCTCTTTGACGAGTGCATTGACGTAGGGCAAGTTGGGCTGATCATCGAAGTGCGGGCTCCGATAAGGCCCAACGACACGGTCAAGCTCCTCGTAAGCCGGTACCAAAGCCTCAGGGAAGGCACAGCAAGCCAGGACGAAAGTGATCAAGGTGGAGCTGCTGGTATCGGACCCAGCACCAAAGAGGTTTCCGCTAAGCGATGAAATCTCTTCATCGTCGAGGGTGTACTTGTCCCTTGCTGCGAAGAGGTGCTTGACAAAGGAATCCTCGTGGCCAGGCTTTGTGGCTGCCTCTTCGGCCAGCGCATAGAAGAACCCGCGTCCTCTTTTGCTTCCGAGACCGTGTTTCCAAGGAGCAATGGCGTTGGGGAATCTGGCCAGGAACGGGAACGTCTCCATCAGCATCGGAAACTTCTTGCCAGGGACATTAAGCTCCGCTGCTAGTTGCATGACAGCGATCACTAAGGGTGTCAGCTTGAAGGTGCAGGGCGCGGTGTACAGCCGGTAGACATTTGAGAAACAGGCTTGTACAGATGCAAGGCACATACCTTCTGTGATGATCGGGTCCTCATTACTTTCGACTCGTCTTCCGAAGCCAATGATGCTTACGCTGGTGGCATATCGCTCAAAATGCTTTACGTAGTCGTCCGGCTTGCTGAGCAAGTCAAGCGCAACGAGCCGACTTTCGTCATTCTGAAAGCTACGGTACTTACGCACGGCCTGCACACCAACTCCATGGTGCGTCAGCTTCCTCTGGAGACGCCATCTCTCTCGTTGTTCGGGATTGAAAGTGTACTGGTTCACCAGATTTGACTGGCCGGCCCCCAGCTCCGCAAAAACCAACATCCTTGGCCGTGAGGAGTATATTCCCGCTCGCTTTTCGAAAAGCTCTGAGGCCGCCCAGGCGTCGTTGATCCAGACTGTTGGGTTTCTGCCTATCCACACGGTCACGAGAGGGGAGTTGTATTCCTTGGAAAGCTCTTCAAACCATAGCCACGGTTTGTTATCAGGCAGCATGAACGTGTTTCCTACAATGGGAAATGGTAGCGGTCCAGGAGGCTTTGTGGCGCGGGTCAGCAGATCATGTTAGGATATTCCGAGAGCATTGGGCATGTACTGCACCATTTTAGAGCGAAGCCATAGCATTCGAGCATAGTCAAGTGCTATGGCTCCTATGGCCAAAAGAAGTGCGGTCGCAACTGTCAGCCCAATGGGGCCCTCTTGGAGGAGCCGTTGCGCGCCAGCGAGGCCGAACGTTTCGTCGAGACGGCTGGTAAGCATGTCGAGGGGTTGGTTGTCGAACGGATACAGTTGCCTTGAAAGACCAAGAAGTTCCACTGTTGCCAGCTTGCTAGCCACAAGTAAAATCGCCAAGACGTGCTATATGCTTTTGCTGAAGAGTACGAGGGGACGGACTGCCGCTTCCACGATAGTCGGTGAGTGCGGCAAGCTGAGGAGGCGAACTGGATTGTGCTCCAGGCGCTGAATGCCGTCAAGGGAGGAGAACCTGGACAAGGCCTGCCAAGTGTTGTGACAATCCTGACAAGAGTGTGTATGCAGCCAGTCGGTCCACTTCGACTGACATTCGGACTCCACATCAGTGGCCGGGACAATCACTATCCTTATATAGACTGTCATCTTACGGAATTACGAGGATCCGTGGGAATTTGTTCACCAGGCTAGCACGGCTAGGCACCAAACACATACCCTGGGGAGAACCATGGATCCGCAGTGCCGCAGCGTCTACCCCGCAGTCTCATTGTCGGCAAATACTAGACTACACGACCCGATCCACGTGAAGTGCAGCTGTGATACAGTAGATTATGGGTTTGGAGGGTCGGATAGAACTTGTGTACCGCGACACTGCATTGCAAGTCATCCTGGGAAATATGGTGGGGTTGTTCAAGACTTGTTAAATCGACAGGAGGGCATGCCATAGGAGACATTCTAACAGGAGGGTTGTTCCAATAGAGGTTGTTCTATAGGAGATCATCCCGAAAGAGCATTTCCTGTAGGAGGACATCCTGTAGACGGTCCCTAGGAAAAGTTGGGCTGTACAATATTAGTGTAATGTTTGAGAGCCTGGGATGGTGCGAACTGTGTGAGCTGGTGAGCCTGAGGATTCAGAACATCCTGCTCAATGGCTACTAATTTCCCAAGATACGCCTTTTGATTATGAAGCAATGAAGAATTGTGAGTTACCATGTTTCCGAAACGAACTGCTGCTTTGTCCATCACAGGAACCCCGTGAGGGGGGGGGTTGGTCATGCGATACTCTTCTTGAATTGCCTGGGAACGTTGTCCTCGTTGCTGGTAATACCCAGGTCATGTGGGAGTCAGCGCAAGTCTTGGGCTATTGGAACACAAGAGGTAACGCCTTGTGCTTGATCCATATACAGCTTTCAATTGCAAAAGAGCTCCGGTCACGCCCTGACGGTCGCTGTCTACTAGTGAACCGAGCCTTTGATCCTCTTCTGAAGCCCAGGCAACGCAAAGGCCCTTGGATATGTCACCAGGCATTGAAATTTGCGTTCACAAAGAGTTCCTTGTAAATATATGCAGAGCTAAATCATGAATTATGATAAATCTTTGAGATAGCGTCTCTCAGTTTCTAATTGGCAAGGTACTATTCACACGCGCGCATGTCCCCAAGAGATCACCCTCCAAGCGACTGGTAGCATTGACCACAAAGTTCTGAAAAGGCGATGTGCCGCATTTGACACCCAGAACGAAGGCCTTGGAGAACGTGTCTGCTAACCAGGGGGATGTATGGGTGTTGTCCATTGGGAAATTGGCGTTTGCCGTCTCTTTGCCCATTAGCTTCAGGGCTTGACCACTGTAATCCCCGTGGCTCACGTAGTAAACACCCTTTTCTGGGCCCCCAAGCGATTCGACAATATACCAGGAATACCACTCATAGATAGTGGGAACCCAGGAGAACTCTCCAGTAACACCGTCATATGTGTTTGTTGGTGTTGGCGATGATGATGACTTTGGCGCCTAAGTCGAGGAAGGTGGAACTGGCGTTCTGGAGGTATGTTGTGTAAGTCTGAACGATTTCGGTCTGATTACTAGAATAGTGTTGTTGTGTCAGATTGCTCGATCTCGGGGAGTTCACAGACTCAGAGAAACGGGTTGCTTACTTGTACGTGACAGGGCAAGTCTCGGCACCCAAGCCCAAACAGTCCACCCTGTTTTTCGCGTCATTGGCAGGATCAGCAGCTATAGGGAGAGAAGTGAGAATTTGTTCAACACAGTGTCACTTCTCCGTCCTCGCACACTTACGACCATCGTTGTGTCCAAACTCGATCACAACCCAATCACCAGCCTGAACCTTGGAGAAGATGGCTTGAAATCGTCCCTCACGGCTGAAGGTTCGGGCAGATCTCCCGGAATAGGCCGAATTGTTGACCCTGATTCTTGATGAGTCGAGGGAATACTGCAAATACTGCCCCCATCCCTCGGTTCCATTATGGCCTCCGCCCGGGGCCATGGTGCTATCGCCACAAAGCCATACCGTCTTTGGCCCGTCAGTTTTAGCAGGCTGTCTTGAGTCAGCTAGGCACTGGAACGGGCAAGGAGCATGTCATGGCTGAGACTCACGGAGAAGGGAGCTGCTGCTGCTGCCGGTAGAAACCAGGCGAGGAAAAGTCCAGGATTCATTGTGGATGGCAGCAACGGGAGCTTTCTGTGGCCACCTTGACTCGAGCTCAGTCCAGCCCCTCAGATATGTGTCCTGGCAAGTGAACTAGCCCGTTTTCCGGGGCCAGCACAGAGGCTTGAACTGCGCGCCTGACTGGTGGATGCCGATTGTCGCGTCATTAGAGCTCGGTCTCTAACTATCCCGAGTTTGCGGGCGCCAGGCCGCCCGGACGCAGAGCAAGGGCACTCCTCGGCATGTCTTTGTCAACAAGGAGACATTCTATGATCTGTACATCAAAGCAAAAAATGAAAGCGATCAAGAAACACCTTGGCTCTGTTTTTAACATTACCCAGCCTTTAGCGGCCGAATTACTGGTTACTGTAGCCCACTTGCCAAGGCGTTGGACTTGGGTCGTGTGGGTAGCGTGTGTAGTCTACTTCTAAGCACCGACTTCCCAGACCGACACACCGGCGGCCGGTATATTCTCTGCCTCTCCCATGATCAATTCAGCATCAACCCCCACATCCGGGGCTGCCACGCTGTCGGTGCCGTAGTTGAAAGCCCAGAGCAGGTTCCCTCGTCGCAGTAACCTCAGCGAGCGACCGAGGTCATTAGCCTTGCTCGCCGCCTTCCCGGTGAGGTCACTTATACTAGCATTTGCAGCTACATCCCCGAGGTATGCCACTAAAAATTCCACTGGCGGATTGAAGCCCAAGTAATGCCACGAGTCTTCGGATACACAGGCCATCGGCTTGCCTGCACGATGCTGCGATGTCGAAGTGACGGCTGGATTCCCGGGGCGTAGGAGAAATTGGCGGTGAGCGCGGCCGAGCGCGGACCAAAGATGACCGGGCCGGTGTAGGCAGAGAGAAGAGTATTGAAAGAGGCGGGGATGATGGGCGTGCTGGGCACGACAACCATCTTGTACCCTTCCAGGCTGTGAGGAAGGAGCACCGCACAAACCCCTTATGGGCATTAATAGGTAGTCCTCGGCCCCTCGGCCCTTTGGCATAAACTTAGATAGAATTATAATTAGAAACTAAATATAACCCTCTTATTGCAAAACTCCTTAATAACTTAGCTTAGATTACGGGAATTAAATGCTAATTAATAATTATTATAAATATAGCCTTATTTAATAAAATAATAAAAGCATTATTATAAATTTATTATTAATTTCCCACTACTTACTTCGCTCTTATATAATTATTTTAATATTTATTTATTACTTATTTATTTAAATTATTTAATTATATAGCTTTGCAAGATTTTATAGCTAAACTTAAATAATTATATACTTAATAATTCTTATAATTCTACTACTTATTTAAATTTTTATATATTATAAAGATTTAAAATAATAAGCTTAAATATGCTTATTTCTTATAGCTTATCTTTAATAAAATAAATTTAATTTCTTAAAATAAGATTTATTAATTATAAAATTAATTAATAAAATAAAAAAGCTTTTTTATATTTCTTACTTATTAATAAATACTTTTATTGCTTAAATCCCCTTTAGCATTTAATCCTTAAGCTGCTTTTTTAATTAATTAAATATTACTTTTTAATAATTTATTATATATATTAATTAAAATATTATTTCCTTAAATATTTAAGCATTGCTAAATAATAAGTTTGCTAAATTTACTATTATTTTTAAAAGTTTTTCTTAAAAATATATTACTTATATTAATATATAATTAAAACCTTAGCTCTTCCTTATATTAAAAAAAGAATAATAAAATGAAATTAAAAAACTTTAAATTTAATAATAATAATATAGCATTATTTATAATTAAAAATATTATTAACTTTATTATATAAATAATAATATAGCTTTATAATTAATAAAATTAAAATTTTATATATTTAATTATTATAACATTTATAAATATATTAATTCTTTAAATTTATATTTAAACTAAGCTTATATAAAATAATATTTATAAATATTTTAATATTTAGCTAATAAATATTAGCTATTTTTATCTTTATAAGCATATTAATTTAAGCATTTAATTTAATAAAAAGATTATAAAATATTTTAATATTTTTTATTTTATTAAGTATTTAAAGCATATTAAACAAGTTTATTTTATAAATAATATTTATTAAGTTTAATTTTAATATCTTTTAAAAAATATACTTAAATAATATTTTTATATCTTAATTAATAATTATTATTAATTGCTTAAAATAGTAATAATTTAAGCGATTTATAATAAGTTAAAATTATATTTTGCTAAGTTCTTTTTAAATATTATAATTAATTTTAAAATAAATTACTTATTTCTTTATTAAGTTATAAAAAAATAAAATATTACTTTATTTCTTTAAATTATTATTATAAATATAAAGGCTTATAATATAAAGCTTTTTATATAGCTAATTACTATATTTAAATCGCTTACTTTTAAAATTAAATTTAAACTTTAAAAACTTAATAAAGTAATAATATTAAAAAGCTTTTTAAATAATATTTAAAACTATAAAAGTATAATTCTTAACTTAGCTTAATAATAATATTTATTTACTTAAAACGTTATTTATCCTTATTAACTTATATTTACTTATAAAGATAAATTAAGTATCCCATATGCCTTATAATATTTACCTTTATAACCTTAGCAATAATAATTATAGCAATACTTTTAAGCATAGCTACCTTAAGCTCTTTTATAATATAATTAACTATATATAATTAACTAAACTTAAAATTAATTTTAATTATTAATTTAATTAGCTAATTAAGGCTAAATTTAAAATATTAAATATAATTAATTTTAATTATTATTAAATTAATATATTGCATAATATTAATAATAAAGTAAATAGCAATAACTTACTTAATAATAATTATAGTAAGGAAATCATTAATAATAGCTTATTATAAAAGATTATTACCTACCTACCCTATAAACCTTATTTATTATTAAATTATATTAATAAATTTAACTTTATTAAGCTTATTATAATAAGTTTATAAACTTTATAAAGCAACTTAATATATTTATATATTAATTACCTTTAATTAAGAAAGATTTAAATAAAGAGTTCTTTATAAATATAACTATTAAAGCTTTTAATTATCCCTTTAAGAAAGTATTTCTCATTAATAACTATAATAATTATTTAAATATTATCTTTTTTAGCATATTAATATTATTATTATTTATTTATTATTATTATATTAAGCATTTTTATAGCAATAACTTATTAATAAATTATATTTACTTTATTTATTTTAAAAAGCCTTAACCTTAATAAAAATAAATATTAATAACTTTTATAATTAAGATAAAAACTTTTAGCTTATTAAATTACTAAGGCTTAAATAATACATTAAAAGATGCCTTAAAGTAGCTAATAAAAAATTAAAAGGCCTTAATATTTTATTAAATATTATAAAGAGCATAAAGGTAATTTAATTATTAATAAAAATTAACTTAAAACTTAAAATAGGATTTAATTTTTACTTTTAAATTTATTTATATCTTTTTATTTAATTATTATTTAAATTATTATTAAATATTTATAATAATATTAATTATAATTAAATAATAATAAATACATAATAATTATAATAAAATTATTTCTTTTTATTAATTTATAAATATATATTTTTATTATAATTATATAAATTTAAAATAAAAATTTATAAATTATATATTTATATATTTATATTATTATAATTCTTAAAAGAATATATTAATTATAAAATTATAATAATTACTTTATTTACTTATAACATTTTTATAATTAAAGATTTAAAGGTTAATATATTTATTAATATAAATATTATAAAATTAAAGGGCTTTAATATTATTAATTTAAAAGAATATATTAATATTAACTTTTATTATATTTAAATTCCCTATAAAAATAAGAAATTATAGCTATTTAATAAAAGCTAAGATACTTATTATATAATATATTATTATATTATTTAAATTTACTATTTATTTTTATTAAATATTACTTATATATTAATAATATTTAAAATTTAATATTCATTTTTATATTAATTTAATTTAATGCTTATACTTTTTTCATAAATATTTATTTAGCTTATATAATTATTAAAAATAAAATAAATAAACTTATTATTATACTTAATAAAATATTTATAGGATATTTATATTTTTTAAATTTATAATGTTAAATTTATATTATTAATAAAGATAATAAGGCTATATTTATAGCTTTTTATAAATTTTTAAATTCTTAATATTTAAAAATAATGCTTTTAAATAACTTTTAAATATATACTTTAATAAGCATTAATATATTTTTTAACTTAAACCTTATTAATTAAGATAAGCTTTTAAGTTTTTTTAATAAAAATATAAATATCTTTAAAAATAAAGGTTAAATTAAAGCTTTATAAAATAAATAGCTTAAGATTTACCTTAAGTAAAATTAATAAAATATAATTTTAAAAAAGTATAAAGTTTACCTTATAACCTTAAAAAACGCTAAGATTATTAATAAAACTTTAAATAAATTGCAAATTATTAAAAAAATTAAATAAATAATTTAATTTATTTCCTTTTCTTTTTCTATATTTATTATTTAATAAATAATGTTAAATAATACCTAAAAAGGTTATATAGTAATTAATATTTAAGAATTAAATTATATATTAATTCTTAATGCTATTATTTTCTTTTATTAATAGTAAATTTATTTTAAATCTTAATAAATATTTATTATTATAATAGCTTATGGATAATTTATATTTAATTATATTATTATAAGATATTATAATAGCTTAGCTTATATATAATAATAAATAAATTAGCTTTTTAAAAATATACTTATTAAAGCATATATTAATAATATAGTTATTATTATTAATAATTCCTTATAAAATTATATTAATAATATTTATTTAATTTTTAATTAATTATAATAAAAGAATATTTTAATAAGCTTAAAAAAATCTTATTTTATAATATTAATAGCTATTATGCTTAATTATTATATTAACTTTTTTACCCTTTTTATAATTAAAGAATGCTTAAAGGTTATTAAAGCTTTGGAATTTCCTTATTTATTAAAGGATTTAAAATATTTTATTAACCTTGCAAATTATATAAGATATAACGTTTTATATTTTATAATAAAGATTAAAACTTTTAAATAATAAAAGATAAATTTCTTTTAATTAAATGCCTTAATAAAGTTAAAGGGTAAAATAGCTTAAAAGAATTAAATAAAATAAATTATATTTACTTTACTTAGCAATATAAAGAAAATTACTTTTAATATTATAAAATAAAACTTAATTAAGTTTATATTTATTATATACTTTAATTTAAAAAGGTATTTATTTATTAATTTTAATATATTTATATTTAAAATTAAAGTATAAGTTTATTATATAATAAACTTAATTATAAAGAAACTTATAAAAAATAATTATATTATTATATATTTATTGCAAACTTTAATTAAAATAATTATATACTTTAGCTATACTTTATTCTTTGCAAAATATTAATATTAAGCTATAAAAATAAAACTTTTTAGCTATATATAAGTATTTAAAAAATATTAATATTAAATTAATATTATTAAGCATTATTTTATAATTTATATAAACTACTTAGTAATTCTTACCCTTTTTAAATAACTTAATATTATTAACTTTATTATAGCCTTAATAAATAATAAAAAATTAATTTATACCCTTAAATATATAAATGTTTTTAAAATTAATTTATTATATAAATTAAAAAAAAATATTATATTAAATGCATTATTATATAACGTGGTTTATTAGTAAGTGGGCAGTATTAATGAGTGGGTATTTTTATAATATTTACCAACTTTTATTAACGCTAACACTTACTTAATGCATTTAATTTATTAAAAATTAGCATTAATTAATGCCAACTATATTTAATTCCTTATTT